GTCTCCTGGGGAGACTTTGATTACACCAGAAAGCCCAACTCAAAGCTGAGGCTCATTCCACACTAATAAGTGCAAGGCACTGAGCTGGATGGGGGTAGCAGGGCAGTGGACACCAGAGCAACCTTGCCCTGGCCTTTAGGTGCTGCTGTGTGGTCAAGGGACAGTGCACAATAATAACAGTTCACATATCCAGAGCCCCTGGCCTGCGCCAGGCACTTCACCCTTATTATCCATTAATGACTCCCTAATGTGCTAGAGGGCAGTAAGCATAGTCAATGAGGAGTGGAGGAGGGGCTCAGGAGCACCAGGAGGGAGCAGCCAACATGCCTGGGGTAGACCGGAATGGGGGGGAATGGGTATAGTTTCCTTTTCCTCCGCCCCAGAGTCAGATTTCCCTCCCCATTCACTTACCGTGCTATCCAAGCCCAGTGTGATTAACATCAAGAAGAAGATGATGGCAAAGAACGTGGACGCCGGCATGTTGGCTATGGCTTCTGCATATGTGATGAAGAGGAGGCTGGGGCCTGAGACAGAGGGGAAGAGAGGAGGATCCCACAGTGTATTCAAGGCCGTGGAGCTGGGTGCCAAGTGTCCCCACTTTCCACCATGGCCTGAACGCACGGAAAGGGTTGAGATCTCCGAGGCAGTAAGTTTCCCTAAAACCTTTGAAAATTTTAAAGGAAACACTCAGAAATAATTCAAAAGTTAGATATTGAAAAAATCCAGAGCAGCAAAGCAATTCTGTGGAAGCAAGGGATCTAAACAGAACCCAAGATCCTACCCGCATCTTTGGCCACCTCAGACACATCTTCATTCCTCATCTCAGCCATGTACCCGAGCACCGTGAAGATGACGAATCCTGAAACGAAGCTCGTCATGCAGTTCACCACACTGGTCACCAGGGCGTCTCTGGGGCAGAAAACCGAAAGGGCTGAGACATTTCCAACATTTCCAGCATTTCCAGCATAAGGAGCATCTGTCTCCAGCCATGGCAAAGGTGAGCAGGCCGAGCTCACAGGGTCTTCACGCCTGTCCTGGGGTCCCCTCACAGCACCTGGCATCTCAGACTGGTTGGGTCAGCCTTGATGCACAAGCTGCCACACACACCATGGGGAGGACAGCTGGTCAGGAGTGGTTCTAAGAGATGGTCCTGTTGAGAGCCGGCATGGCACAGACCTCTTCATTTCAAACCAAGCTTGCTGAGAAGCAGGGCCTGGGTTGGAGTGAGTGCCAGAAGGAGGCCTTGTCCTCACATTTGTGAAGTCATCAAATTTAGACTTTTGACATTACGTGCAAATGGGGTTACGACTGCCACACTTTTGAAAGAAGACCTGGCCTCATCACACAACTTCCGGCTGGTGTCTCGATGCAAGGCCACATTGCTGAGAGTGCCTGTGAATTCCTTTTTTCAAAAAAATTAATCCTGTAATTATCTTATTTATAGCATGATTAGATTGCTGGACATTGCCATCTGTGATAGAACAGTAAAACAAAGTTTACTCTAAAGACAACGAGTGATATTTACATCATAATTGGTGCAACACTCTGATTCGTCAAAATTTCTGAAATGAGGTTTTTGCCACAGAAATTATAGCATTTCATGTTGCTCAAAATAGTTTAATCATTACGCTTCTTGTGTATTTATACATAAACAAATTATCACATTATAATTTTTGTTGTTAAAGATAATAAGTCAAATCTAAACATTTACTGTCTACTGTTATTTTTTGTAAACCTGCTTTGGAATTTCTTAATTTTTTTATACAGTGACTCTCACAAAATAGAGGTGGCCTGGGGCTTCTCTCAAGCCCCGAGTGGCCTGGGAGAGACTATGGTTTGGTGGGTGCTCTGGCCATGGAACCTGTGGTACCTCTGAGGGTCCGAATGTCAACATGGCCTGAGCCCAGCCAGATTTGAGGCCATCAGTTCGATCACCTCCCTCCAGACTAGCTGACTTACGCTCACCCCACTTTTAAGCTTTGCTTGAGGGGCCTTTGATACTCACTGATAACAGTTGTTGTTGAATTTGTTGTAGCTAGCGAAAGCCAGTAGGACCCCAAAGCCAGGACCAAGAGAGAAGAAGATCTGAGCAGCAGCATCCACCCACACCTGGAACACAGCAGAGATGAGGGCAAGGGCTGAGGCCCCAGCCAGCACTGGGCACCAGCAGCAGCATCCTCATGCCTCTACATGGCCACATGCAGACAGAAAAAGCCAGCTCTCGAGGCTCATTCCAGGGATGGCCACATACCAAGTGCAAACAAATGTGATTTCTCTTCCTATCATGTAGGCATAAACCAATCCAGTGGCCTCAACTATACTTTTCATGCTTGTATTTTTGGTTTAAAATACCACTGCAGACTTGCCATTAAACCCATATTTCCATTGTTCTTACTATCCTAATTGGAGGTATTGGCTTCAGTTAGTAAAATCTCAGTTAGGTGCACACTGTTTTCCTCACTGTCTTACCCCTGTCTCCAGGAGCTTCTGCCAGTTGGGTTTCAAGTAGAAGAGCACACCCCTCCAGGCTCCAGGGAGCGTAGCCCCCCTCACCAGCAGGACCAAAAGGATGATGTACGGGAAGGTGGCTGTCACCCATACCACCTGTGATGAAGAAAAAACAGATTATCATCATGTGGATGGTGGTGATTTTTGTTCTTGAAAATCTCCAAGAAAGGAGATCTCCCACTTTTTTTTCTGTAATTTTAGGAGACAGGGTTGTGTGGCAGAAAGATCACAGACTTTAGGATCAGAGAGGGGTCAGATTCACTGCTTGCTGGTACTAACTACCCCGACACCCACTCCCCATCTGTGAAATGGGGGAAATATCTCACAGCGAAAATCAAGCACACAGTGTAGATAAAGCATTGAACATGGTCTGTGATAGGTTTTCAATAAATTATTGCCACTCTTATTCATTGTGCTACTACCAGTGAGTTAAAGAAATTTTTTTAAAAATCACTTAATGGTTCTTGAGATTGGCCCACTTTTAGAATTTTCTAACAGATTTGGTGAGTATCACAGGATGTGTTTGGGGTTGAAGGAAACAATGTCCCCCGAGTTCTGAGTTTGAGATTCTCTGGGGCCCCTTGGCAGCCTGGATCAGCAGCCAGAGTCCTCCTTACCTTGCCAGAGGTTTTGATGCCTTTCCAGATGCTAAAGTAAATAACAGTGAAGATCAGCATGATGCAGAAGGCAAGCTGCCAGCTGATGCCCCCCAGGTCCTGGAGTCCCTTAGACCGATGGATCTGCAGGACATGGCGCCTGGGGTGAAAGAGAAAGCAAGCCCGTGAGATGGCCTGAACAGTGACCTGAGCGCATCGTCTTCTTACCTCCAGGAGCACGCCAAGAGAAGAAATGGACACTGCACTGCAAGGGCCAAGTGGTCACCAGCCTTCAGGAAGAGCTGGGCTTGGCTCTGCCCGTCCTGAAGGAGAAGGCGGCACATTCGGGCTACCAACCCTGGGAGAGTGCTCACCCCAAAGGCAGACAGCCAGGTCTTTCCTTCCTGGCTGGGACCCAACCAACCAGGAAACATGACCAACAGGACTTTGGGGTACATGAGGATTTGTCTGTGTGGGAATTGGGTCCCTTCCCCATCCCAAAACAGCTCTCTTTGGGCTGCCATTGTCTGAAATTCCAGCACTAAAAATACTACCTACTCCAGGGAAGGGTAGATCCCACTTACGAAGTAAACACACAAAACCCGGAACTATTTGAATAGTTTCAAACTACTAAGGTGGTAGAAAGTTTTGCTTCCATGACACTGGCTGGGAGGAGGGCCCGGGAAGAAGGGAGGTTTTGAAGTAGCGGGGTATAACTTGGGAACTTGAAGGTGGGATTGTCCTGGGCGTGTTGGGGCCGCCTGGAATGGCGCATCAGAAAGGGTGGGGTGGCACAGAGGGCCAGGTTATTGAGCACTCAAGGTGGAGTCTCCTAACTCCAAATCTGGCCTGGGCTGGCCCTGCCCCTCACCCACTCACATTTACTCCACTCGCCCTGACAGCTTCTTCTCTCAGAAATGTGGCAGGAAAGAGGTGAAGAGTCCCTGCCCCTGCAGCTCCTGCTCTCCCGACCCAACCTCTGTCCTAAGAAGCCAAACTCCAGGGTAGTGGCCTGCCCCCAACGGACCACCCCCTCACTTACAGGCACTTACGTGTAAAATTCCTCCGCAGGGGACGTGGAGTGAAGTGTCCAGGTGACGTTGTCTTCGGAGAAGTAGTTGGTGCAGTTGCCAGTGTTCCAGGAGTTCTTGCAGCTGGTCCAGGGCAGCTGATCCGTGAAGGAGGAGATGAGGTAGTAGAGCGCCCAGGCCATGATGGTGTTGTAGTAGGAGGCGATGTAGAAGGCGATGATGCAGATGGCGTAACCAATCCCTGGGAGGGAGGGCGAGGGGGGCCAAGTGTAAAAAGCAGCCCAATGGTGGAAGAGGGAAACAGGGCCTTGGAGGGCCCTACAGGGATGGGGCAGTGGGTGGGAAGGGAGGGGCTGCCCATTCGTTTCATTCCCCAAAGACTCTGGGAGATGGTAGAAAAGTGACGATGTGGTAAACGCCTTATGTGTATTTGCAAAGTTACGTTTCAGTTACTTGCTGTTAATGCTTTAGAATTGTTCTATTTAGTTTCCTTTTAGTTGCCATTTATTATTTCCTTTTAACAATCTCATGCCACTTGAGCTGTCAAAAACTTAATTCCTATACTCGAATTATCTCCCAGGGTGACCTGAGGCCTAACTGATTGCAGAAGGTCTCCAGCTCCCACCCACTAATGGAAATCACCATGTCCTTGGCAAACCCTCCCCACCCAAGCCTTTCAGCTACCTTTGAAAAGAGGGCAGATTTTCCTCCATATCGAAATGCATCCGTTTCGGTGGTATTGGCCCAGCACAAGCTCCATGTAGAAGAGTGGGACCCCTCCAAAAATGGCCATGATGGTATAGGGGAGAAGGAACGCGCCTGCGACAGATGAAAGACAATTTCACTCCCTGTCCACATCTGCCCCAGGATGGCCCACGTGATCTGGACACCAGGGGTCATGCCAAGAATCACAGAGCCATCCGAAGCTCAAGCATCATGAAGCCCCCTGTGCCGAGTGACCACCACTGCACTCCCTTGGTCTTGGTGCTTTGTCAGAAGCAGCAGCAGACATAGTTCCACAACAAAAGAGAGGTTTTGGAGGAGACAGAGAGGAAATGGAAAGAAAGCTGAATTGGGGAATCAACAGAACGGGCACTGGGACCAGTTCTACTTCTAACTGCCTGGAGGACCCTGGGCCACTTCTCTTCTCTGAGTATTTCCTCCCCTGTAAAATGACAGGGTTGAGGAGAGCTAAAGTTCCCAAACCCAGCCATGCATCATAATCATTGGTGAGCTTATGATCTCCTGAAGCAGAAGCTCCAGGTATGGGTATAACACAAATGTTTTTAAGCTCCCCAGGTGATTCTGATACAACCAGTACATGGACTAGCATTTGGGACCCTCTCCTATGACAGATCTCCTGTGACAACCTGTACAACAGCTGTAATAATCTATGAGTCACTGAATTAGCATCTTTGTAAATCTATATTATCCCTGGCTCCAGGCACTTGATTACTAATATTTGGCTATATTTCCATAATTCAACTGAGCCAGAATGCTTTCCCTGAGCCACCTTTGCAGGTGTGGCTTAAAGGGGTAATTTGTCACAGACCAAGAAATGATGAAGCCGCTGCATCTCTGGCGATGCTTGTGTCTCCTGGCTTTCGTGGCTGAGGCGGAATTTGGAAATACCAAGTTAGGGATTGCTTACCGGCAGCCTCAGTTTTAGCCCAAAGGATGGGTCAGCTATGATTATCCCTGATAACTTTCCCTCCCATAAAGTGCTTTAAACCTAGAAACCAGAAGTCAGTGTAGCTCAGAAAGGTCCCACCTGACTTATAATCACTTTAGGGACATCTGGATTGAGAATAAGAACTACCTTGTGTTCTCATGGTGGCATTTGTCCAAAGGGTTTGCTTGCCTGGCTTTCTAGTAGAGAATGAGTGTAGGGGAAATGGCATCGGTGACCCGGCCCCTTATGTAATGCTCAGGCTAAAGGTGAGTCCTCTCAAACTGGAGATAAGGGCGTTCCAACCTCCTCTCCTCCCAGGTGGGGAGCACTGAGCTTCCCCAACTCAACTCCCACCCCCCGAACTGGAATTGCCTTTGCAACTGCATAGACAATGGCCCTTAAGAGCAACAAATCCAGGCAACTCTGTGTCAAGCCATGGAGGAAATGAGGGGGACACAAATTAATTATCCCCTAAAACCTCATTTTAGCTACCTTCCCAAATATGTTGCCAGAGATCCTGTCAAAATAAATACTGACTGATTTGACTTCCATCTCTCCTTTTCCTATTCTGATGGCAAGTCCAGTGTTGGCACAGAGGCCCCATACCTACTCACTCCTCTCTCTTGCTCTACTCTCTAGGGCTCCCATATTCATGCCTACATGCAGCTACTATTTTTCATAATCTACAACTGCCCTTGAGGCACTGGGGGTAGAAAGAGGAACAAGAAATAGTCTCTGGCCTCAAAAATCTCATGCTCTTGTAAGAGATATAAGGCACAGCCATGCATGGTTTGGGGTGGACACCAATATCATGCCGTGGCTGGGTTCAGCTCTGGATCATGCCCCCATTGTAACTTGAGACTCTGGACCTGAGCTGACACCCTTATTTGACCTCGCCCAGATCCAAAGGCCCGGGAGGATCTGGGACGCTGAAGCTACTTCCCAATCTTTCCTTACACAGATCTACCCTCTCTGGAGTCTTCTGAGCAGACCTGCCAGCAAGAGTGAAAGAGTGCAATACAGTACTGCTGGTCATCCCTCGCAGTGTGGAGAATGGAGCCTGGAAAATGCAGGGATGAGAAGGGGGCTCTTCAACAAATGGAGCACTAATGATGTTGAAAATCTGTCGGGGTCAGGTTTGAGAGATCTCATCCAGCTTCAGAACCCAGAGAGCCTCGGACATACTGACTTAGAGTGTTGGCTTACTAGAGATTTATCTTTTAGATAAGCTTCAAAGTTTAAGCAATCACATTCCCAGACTCATATCAATTAAACAAGACAGAAAAGACACGATTTATCCTCTGACCTCCCAAGAGGCTCTACAGACCACCACTGGGTCAGAGCCTCTGCTGGTGGCCCATGATACTGACCCCCTCCATTCT